GGGCGGGAGGCATGGGGAGGGAGGGGGAGGCGCTGATCTGCGGGGCCCACTGGCAGGCAGAAGGCGCTGGGGGGGGCAGGTGCTGATGGGGGGTGCTCAGCACCCACAATTTTTTTCCCATGGGTGCTCATAGCCCCAGAGTCGGCGCCTATGATAAGAGGCATCATGTATGTTGATGATTATGGATCAAAGTGTACCTGAGAGGAAAAAAGAACTTGTTCTGAGTGTTTTGAAAACCTGATGGTATTTTGCAATGTAGAATTTTCAGTTGAATGCTCAATTAAGTGTGCAATTGCTCATGCAAATTTCCATTTCCAGTAGTACTAGTTCTTATTGAAATTACTCATGCAAAAATATTTTTATTTGAGCATGCAACTGCTCAAGCATCTGTACCATATTTAGTGCTTAAAATACAGCCTTGCTATCTTTCACACCAACAGTTTCTTATTTAACAAAACCAGTAGGGAATGACTTAAATTTATTTTTTCTCTTACATAGCATGTCTCATCCACAAGATGGGAACATTTCCCACAGGAGGTGCCACAGAGTCATATGTAGTACTTGCTTGAAGAAGTTTGTGGGGAAAGTCCCACCCTCTTCCAATCCTCTTCTGATCGGGCAAAAGTGCTGACGAAGTTAGAACCCACAACTAGATTTTTTTGGAATCTTGAAACTTATCACAGGCTAAAGAGCTGCCTGTTGGGTACTTTTGAAGATAAATAGACAGATCAGCCAATCAGACACAGGTGAGGATGGCCATTCTGGGGGCAAAGGGTGTTTTGCGCCTCCTGGTTAGATGCACAGACCTGGTGCTATGAGTTAAAAAAAAAGTTTCTTGAAGAGGAAATAAAGTATTAGAAGTAAACAATATTAGAAAATGAGAGGGAAGAAAGTACTGTACTACAAGTAAAAGAGAATTGTCACTATACGTTAGGGACAGATCTTTGTGCATCCAAAACTTCGTTTGAAGCCAATTTGCCTAAGTAAGGACCACAAGATTTGCCCTAAGAAAATTAGAAACAGGATGGAATTGAGTGGGTTTAATACAGATCTTCTCCATGAAAAAGAAAGGGAGGCTGTGAAGGATTGTTTGTAGGCAGGACCTTTTATATGCTCAGTTTCTATAGTGTTTACAGATAGGTGAAGCAAGCGGTCTCCAATTACTAGTGACAGTTTGGTGGCATGTGAATCCAGGCATGTGACTGTGAATCTGCCAAGGCAATATATGCAGAAAACCCAGGCTGGTGAGTAAATTTAAAAATTAAGTTTGAGAATTTGTTTACAAGGTTGAGCTGAAAGACTGCATCAAAGGGAAGACCACAACACACAATGGGAAAGTGTCTGAATAAGAAATAGATTTAAATTTGATTTTTTTTCTTTCTGTGGCCTGGACTTGGTTTGGATGAGAGAGTACTTTTTATTTCAATTTCTTGAATTCTTAAGTTGAGATCAATGCTATCGGTAAAAAACCCTAAACTATCCTGAGAAGTAGAAGCCTGATCCAGCAAG